TATTTTATTGATTTATTTTTGCATTTTAAATTGTATCTGACTTGCTATTTATTCATATTTTTAAAAATAGAGGAAATCTATTTATTTGGGGTATTGATTAGTATTCCAAAAATTTGAGAATCTATTCTATTATTTCTTAAGATGTTTCCATAGATGCTCTTAAATTTTCATATAGACAATTTCATCATCTGTTGACAATGAGAATCTTGTGTTTTGTTTCTACTTATTATTGTTCTTATTTGTTTTCTTCATCTTTTTGAATTGAGGAGGACATTCAGTACAATGCTGATTAGTTGTAGTGACTGACGTTGTAGTAACCTTATCCTGAGACCAGAAGAATCGACCAGCTGAACCTGTCAGAAATTGCTGATTCTTAGAAATGTGAGCTAAATAAATGCTTTTTATTTTAAAACACCAAGTTTTGGATTTGTTTTCTTTTTTTAGTGATAGCTGTTTCTTATGAATCAATAGCTAAATATTTCTAACTTTTTATATCAAACTTCCCATCTCATTTTGAATTTGGTATATCTCTTGTAAGCAGCATATAACAATATATTTTTTTAAATATAATGAAATATCGTTGCTTAGGAATGATACTTAATCCGATTGTGATTATGGTATTTTGAACTAATTTCTACTTTTTTTTTCATTTTCATGCTTCTGCTTTACATCTTTTATTCTCCTTTCTGAGCTTCTGTTCTATTGATGAAATAAGCCTTATTATTTAACTTTCCAAAATCTTTCCTTGCTTTGGAAATGACAGATTCTTATTCAGTGTTAACACTTCAAGTTTTAACATACGAAGTAAAACATTAATAAAATATTAAATAACATATGAAATAAAATATTATTAGTTTATTAATATTAATTGTGTTTTTTCTTTTCTATTATTTCTTGCAGAGATCCTGAAGGCCAAGGTTGATATCATATTTGCCAAAATTTTAGTAGATAAAAATAAAAAGTTTTTCCTTAAGTATTGGAAAAGGTCTTTAATAACTGTCCTTCCTTAATTCCTGATAGTTTACCACTTTTAACTAAATATAAAGTTGACAATAGGAAATTATTTTCCTTCAGTATTTTGAGGATATAATTTTTATCGACTTCTGTCACCTATTTTTTTTGAACCAGGAACCTACTTTAAATCTAACTCTCATCGCTTTTTATTATTCTGCCTTTTCTTTTTGATAGTTTTAATTTTTTTAATTTAAAAAAGTGTTCTTACAATTTTTCTTTATTTTAATCTATCTGAGCTTTGTTTGCTTGAATTAATGAATTTTACATTTGACTTGTTAAATCTCTCTTTGCATCCAGTCTAGATATTCTACTGTCTATTGATTTTTATTGTTCTCTCTCTGTATGTGTGCATGTGAGTATACATATACATTCACAAGTACATTGTACATGTACAGATCTTCCTCGACTTACGATGGACTTAGATCCCAATAAACCCATCATAAGTTGAAAATACTGTAAGTTGGAAATACTGTAAGTCGAAAATGCACTTAGTATACTTAACCTCCCGAACATCATAACTCAGCCTAGCCTACCTTAAACGTGCTCAGAACACTTACATTAGCCCACAGTTAGGCAAAATCATCTAACACAAAGACTATTTTATAATAGAGTGTTAAATATCACATGCAATTTATTGAATACTGTTCTAAAAGTGAAAAACAGAATGGCTGGATGGGTACAGATGGTTGTAAGTGTGTCGGTTGTTCACCCTGGTGATCACGGGGCTGACTGGGAGCCTCAGCTCGCTGCCCCTGCCCAGCATCAGGAAAGTACCAAATTCATATTGCTAGTTCAGGAAAACATCAAAATTCAAAGCAGAGTTTCTATTGTGTGTGTACTGCTTTTGCATCATTGTAAATTTGAAAAAATCATTAAAGTGAACCATTGTAAGTTGGGGCCCATCTGTATATATGTGTATATATGTCTATATACAATTAAATTTTAAGTATATGGATGTAAATTTATATCTATATAGTTCTCTATATATCTAAATTTATATATATTTCTATACATAGTGTTATATAATTTTCTACATATTCATAACTGTAGTTTATATATAATGTGTATACATACATGTGTATTCATAACTAAATTTTAAATTTTTATTTCTGGATATATATTTACATATAGTTATGTATATAAAATTAAATTACCAAATATTTTCATATAGTCCTATGCAATTTTCTATATACACAAATACTATAGTTTTATTTTGACAATTTTAAAAATTATTTTCATACAAATTTGTTTTATTTCCTTGTTGTCTTATTTCATTTAATCACTTCTTGGTCTTTTTTGTAAAGATATTATTAATTTTTTTTAATTTTGAGAACTTTAAACATACTTATATTAAAGTGTTTTTGTCATCATTTATATATTTTGTACCATTCAGAGTGCATTCATTTTCTGATTTCTCATTTCATTGACCTTCTTTTAATTATTTGGTTTTCAGGCTTATCACAAACAACAATATGTATTTCTCTCTCTTATTTTGGAAATGTCTTCTTCTCTCCACTCACTCTTTGCCACACAGCAATTTTAGAAATGCCACTAAACCAGTGGCTTCCCGGTCACTCATCCTGGCTTGAAGGTGCTGTCTACTTTTTACTGTTCCCAGAATATGCAATTCTTGTAAGCAGTGAGCACAGAAGAATAATGGTTTTAATTTTTTTCTCCTAGATTTCTTTGTTTATGTTCTGGAGCACATAAATATCTATTAACTCATATAATGCAATGCTCAAGCTACCAAGATCTAGCAGGCCTGGATTTGCTGACTCTTACTCCTTTGTGCTTTTGTTCTGGTTGTCTAGAGAAGTATTTGTATATGCAGGAGCATATATATATATATATGTATTTATTTTGGTATGGCTATTCCACTTTTAATTTCATTTTTATACATTATTATCCATAGCTGCCTTGTGTTTGGAGAAAAGCTCATTTTGACTTAAACACTTTCACATATGGTATCATTAATTCTCGCAATGCTACAAAGTGGGTATTTCTAACCACAATTTATGGACGTAAAAACTGAGGCTCAGAGAGGTTAGGAGGCTTGTCTTATCTAGCACAACCAAGTCTATTTACTCAAGCACATGTTTTCAGCTAGGTACTGGTATTACTGTTTCTCAGAAAATTGCTGTTTTTGCTATCTAAAAGAAATTATTTCCGTGTTATTTAAAATTTTGTCAGTTCTCAAAAATTTAAAAACTAGTCTTACAAAATGATTAAAACATCTTTTCCCTTACACAACTGTCCATAGGCCTCTCAGACTTGAGATGGTGCGGCTGATTTAAAAATTCATATATATGGTTAAAATAAGTGTTAAGAAAAATTACATCAGCATTATAAACCCTTTTAAAAGTATGTATATATTTTGAGGGGAATTTCTTAAATATGAGTTCACAGCACTGGTTATGTTGTCAAACTACTGAATTAGGACCTTTTGAATATATTCATTAATTAAATCTACATATTCCAAATGTAATCATCTTGAATGAAGAAATTTTAGTCACTCAGGTAGGGTTTTAACAACGGTAAAATTCTCTTGTTTTTCTAAAATACTTTTGGAGTTATATAGGTTAAATAGGTTGATTATAATATATCTTTAAATCTAAGTCAAATTTTCATTATACCATCAAATTAAAATTACTTTAAAAATGTAAAATAAAATCTTTAATGAAATGGAAAAAATCGAACTGAAATATAAGTATGGGTATCTAGATGTGATCTTAATCTACAGAATGTTGAATACTCCCCAAATTATGTAATTATTTGAGTACAGGAAAATATGAATTCATTTTTTACATATTTAGTATAGTTAATTATATTAAGTATATTTGAAATTATAGAATAGGATGGTCAAATGTAAATAAATACATACTAGTCAATTAAATACAATTTTCACACACAAACATGCACAAACACGTATTCCCACAAGGAGCTGACCACAGGGCTAGTTGAAACAAGAGCGGCAAACAAGCTTTGTATTTTCATATAAACTTTGTAACGGCCACCCACAATTTGTTATCCTTGTTATAATTTAAAGAAGCTTAGGGATAATGGGAAAAATGTTTTAGTGGGCTGTCATTTAGTGATATCATTTTTCCTTACATTTGAAAATGCTTCTCCATGAAAGGTACAGAGAGGTAATTAAACGCTTACTCTAAAATATATGCACCATTGTTTCTTTCATGTGATTCTGAAGCAAGCGTTAAGTCCCAAATAACAGCATATTCATATAAACATGATCAAAGATAGTTTTGGGAAGAAGAAAATTGATGCTAACCAGAACACTGCACAGATTGAAAGGCTTAATCTTCCCCTTATGTACAGAAAGTAAATTTACACAACCTTGAGGAATCCACCAAATAAGAAACCTAGATCACAATGAATCTTTTCTTCTTATTAAATTCTTGTGTTCTTTTTTCCCACACAATACAGAAGGTTAAACAAAAAGAATTCAAAAATTTCCAAAGCACTCCGCAATTATGCATATTTATCTACCCATATTTTGGAAAATATTCATAATAACAAGAGGAAATATAATTTGTACCGCACATCTTGATAGCCTTGCTAATGCAAGATGATTTCAAACATTGCATTTCCTTTCCTAACTGTCCCTAGGACATATTTTTCATTTTTCCTAATTTAAATTTTTTCTACCTCCTAGCAGTTGCAGCAGCTCTCATCAACATGTTTGTCGGCTAAGATTTCTTCTAAAATTTGCCCAAGAGCATATTACATGTACATTTCTTGTTTAAAGGGATGCTTCTGTATAAAACTCAATGAAAGCTATTTGTACATACGGCTCAATTTTAAATACAAGCTATTCACAGATCATAACACATTAACATCAAACTGACTTTGAATGCTGACTTGCAAGCTGTTCATGGAATATAAGAATAAGACAGAAGTGATCAGATCTATTCCGTATCATGACAGTAAAGATACCACAGAGACCAAAAGATATAGGTATTCGTCTTCACCTTCATTGTCCTTTAGAGTGAAATTTGGGTTTATAGACAGCCGTTCATCAAGAAAGAAGTTAAACCTCGGTCCATTGGCAAAATCGTCTTTATCAGTGGCACTGATGGTATGAATAACCTAAAGAAAAAAACAAATACTAAATAGTAAATTTAATTTGGCTTACTATCTTGATTTTAATTATAACATTTTCAAGTGTTAACACAAAAACCTTTTTAAAAGACCTCTTTATCCACTTTGAGTGTTTTCAAATTTATCTATTAAGAGTACCAGTTAATTTGCTCTCCCTTGCATTCCATTTTAGGAAACATATTATGGCACAATTTATAATCATCCGCACTTATTTTCTAGCACGGCACAAACATTTATATTTTTCTCCTTTATCACTCAGTACCTTGGGGCCAATTTGTTGTAAGATTTTGTAGGAACACCTGTTTGGGGAGACATGAAGTATTGTTTGCACAAATATAAATATCCCAGAGTTGATGCATAACAGCCTTGCAGTATATGCTGGTCTCAGTCAGTAAATGTGAAAGCAGTGGAGGCATATTTTTCTACTGTTTCAAGGGACCGTTGAGATCATAATCCAGCCCTTGTATTTTAGAGATGAGGAATTTGAGTCCCTGAAAGATTGTGATGCACCTCAAATCTGTAAAATAGTGGCAGAGGCAAAACTATACCACTCAGAGCTTTTTCCAATACTTCTCTTCTCTAGAGGCTGAGAGAAAGCAATTCTGAAATTTGAACTTTATGCACATTAAGGAGCAGAGAAAGTTAGACTATATAAAGAAAATATTCCAGGTGGCATAAGAGCAGAACACAAATTCCAATAGCTATAGCCATTACGCTCTTAAAAAATAACTATCCAAACAGATAAGCAAGATAATATTTTCCTCTTTTAAAAATTAGTGTCCTACTGCTTCAGTGTCTGCTTTCCAGGTTTTCTTTAAAGAAATTCAAAACAAAGAGAGGTAAAATAGAGCCATAAAAAATAGTATCCCATATATGTGAAATATAGTATGTCCACTTCACAAACTGACATAATTTCTAAGACCATTTTATTTGATTTCAGCCCATTTCAATATTTTACAAGTGAAATAATCCACCAGAATGAATCATAGTTAAAACCTAAACTCCTCTCCATGTATTGAGTCCTTTAGTTAGTGAGGAGAGGAGGAGGAATATAAAACCACTGAGAAGCAGTGGTCGGTGAGAATAAAAGACCAGAAAGGCACATGTTTTCATGAAGTGAAAGTGAAGAAAGTCCTTCGGGATACGGACGTGATCAATTTCCTCCATACATTTACATAGCTCATTCCTTTATATCCTTTCCACCACGGCTCAAAATTTACTTTCTCAGCAAGAGATCCTGGGTAAAAGGCCCTCCCCACACATCTCCCAAGAAGTCTCTATCCCTCTTCTCTTACGTCATTTCCATCTGTATTACTTATTTATGAGCTGAAAATTTACACATATGCTTATTGTTTGGTTTCCTTGTCATTTAAAGTACAGGTAGTCTCTGGATCAATGTTTTTTCCGTTTATTGGTTTAGACTCTGAGTAGGAGAATAAATTGATGGATAATCAGAAGCAATTGGACCTTTTTCTCAGAAGCGCATGAAAAGCTCCGTAAAGTTCAGAGTGTGCATGATCTGAGCAACATACCTACATTCTCCACATGTCAGTTATGTAATATAAAATTAAACTAAAAACAACATAAATTTTCAAGATTGTGTTCAGGGTTAGGTAAAATAAATATAGATTCCTCTTTTGGAAAATAAATGTCTTCTCACCCCCTCATCATTCATTGTGATTCTCCAATTTGCAGTTCTATTTTCTCCATGATACCTCATTACAAACTGACACGTGCAAGTTCACTTCTTATCCTAGAAGGTAATTGTGGATGGGATTGGTGGAGAACAATTAATTTAAATCAACTGAGCTATTTTATGTTTCCTGTTATTACTTCTTTGGGACAATCCTTTTCTTCTCATTTCAAAGTTAGTTTATAAGTTATTTTGAATTTTCTTAATATTTTTATAAACATGAGCTTATTCTATTTGTTAAACTCAAATATAATTCATATTGCATTGTGTTTACTGTATTTCTGTTATTTTTAGCACAAAAATCCTTTCCATTATTACACAGGTAATTTCAAATCTGCAGTTACCAAGAAGCTCACTGATGGCCAATTTCTCTTCCTCGGAAAGAGTTCTCAGTCTCATCTATACAGCAAATGATGAGTTGATGATACTACATTTTGTTTATGAGTGAACCATCCTGAACTCTTGTAGAATTGTTGGTCATACACCTATAATTAAATATTTTTCCATAATATTTCTGAGAAATGCTTCCAAAAACCTAGAATGTTGGTCTACTTTTATCTAGAACTCTGATATATTCTCTTGATGAGGAAGCTATATGCAACGTTTCTGTTTTTCTAATCACTTTTTCTCTTTTATTAGGAAATAGATTTCCGTTTATTGTTTCCTCAGACTTGTATTAGGAAACATACCTAAGAAGTTCACATGTTTATGATTTTTAGAAGATTTAAACTTTGGGTAGATATCTAGAGCAGGTCTGCACCATCAATATTTTCTACCCTTTTGTCAGAATTACGATTCATCTGACTGTGCTCTCTGCGCTCTCTGTGCCGTTGCTTGTTGATGTACAATCCATAACAATTTATTTTCTGACTCTCATTCCTTCTAACTGAACTTAGATGTCTTCTATCATATACACATTATGTAATTAGTGCATCAAGTGTATGATTATTTTGAAATATCTGAGAGGAACACAGTTACAGATTTATTCTACCAAAGGGAGAAAGAAATCCAAATTGATAGTTGGTATTTATAAATAATTGCCAACAGAATTTTTTGATAATGCACATTAATAAGGATTGACTTTTGGCAGAAAGTGATTAGGACCAATTTTGTATTTCTTTTTTCAAATAAATTTATCCCCTTTTTAAAATATGTTTTCCATAGTCTATTACTTATAAGCTTCTTTATTAGGAAAAAAAGAAATACTGTCACAAATTTACACAAATTATGTGGTCTTCTATTAGGTAAATGAGCTAGTCCTAACTAAACATTTAGATTAAAAAGGAAGTTCTATAGAACACGAGGTATTTTCTTTAAATTAATTAATGAGTTTCTTTTATAATATAATCTCAAGTGGAATCATAAATTGATTTGCTGCTAACTTTTGTTAGTTAAATGAGCTTGATCTTTGACATGGTGTAAAACCTCTACGGATTTAGTTAATTTTTTTCATACAAAGTTGTATCATTAATAATTGGATGTGATGTGAGCAGAGGCTGGTGTTAGGTAATAAAATATTTTTTTATATGTTATGCTTCCTAAGCTTACTTCTTAAAAAAGCGGTAAAATTTAATATGAATAAGATAGAAAGCATTTCCTTCATTTATTTTTCAAAGTTTCCAGGTGTGGGCACATCACAATTATTTTCAATTCACTTTATTTTGGGAACTGACTTCAAATTTCATGTGTGCGTCATTTTCTTTTTAATATATTTTCATGAAAAGTGCCTAAAAGATATTTTTCAGAACAGTAAAATATATTGACTCAGAGAAATATATTGTTGCAGTTTATGCTGATACCTGCATTGACCTGAACTCGGCTGTTCTATGTGTTCTAAATCTCTGCTTTCATAAAAGACCAGTCTCTGCCATTGCCACATGCTGTTATGTTTAGATGCACAGCATCCATAATAGAAATGTCTGTGATTCTAAAGCAATTGTCATAGAAAGAGGAAGTATGGTACAGCTGGGCAGTACAAATACGCTTCAGAAAACCCACTCCACAAACTATTATTTCAAAAGAATTTCTTATTCCCACTCCAACAAAACACACAAAGGTTTTCCAGAAACGCTACCAACAGAAGGTAAAATGAGCCAAAGATTGCAAAATTAAGCAATAGAAACATTCAGACCATTTGTTCTGTAATGAGTTAATCAGACAAAATGATCAGACTGATTGGCAATGATTTGTTTAAATAGGGATGCAATAAATAATATTTAAAAATGAGTCTTTTATCTCCTCAATAAAAAGTTTAAATTAATTTTCGTGAAAGAGTTGGAAACAAATGCTCAAGCAAAATAAAGACTGCAACTATCTTGTAATGACATCTAAAATCATACAATATTAAAGACAGCAATGATACTAAATAGGAATATAATTTTCGAACATAAAAAGAAGTAATCACATAACTAAATCTATATATGTTAGAACTTAGTGGTGCTAAGTCTAACGATTACTTTCTGAAAACAGTAACAGTTATATAAATAAGAGAGAAATACATTTAAATAGTTAATGGGGACCCACAGGAGAAAAAAGAGTTTGTCACAAATTTAGCCCTCTCTAAAAGTGGAATGACTGTTCATGTGAGGAGAATAAAGTAATCCACATTTAAAGGAATTTGAGACTTATCTAGTCATGTACTCATCTAATCTCAGGTTTGGAAGAGCCCTGAAATGTTGACAATTGTTCATTTTAGAGATGAAGAAAGCACTTGTCAATGCCATATAAATAATTTGTCAGAAATGCTACAGAGTTTAGGTGGTCAATGTAGAGGGTAAAACAGAAGGACCCAGGCTAGTAATGTCACACTGAGAGGAGAGCATGGCCTAGAGAGAATGTCTGAATAACTTTCACATGAGCAAGAAGTGGACAATATGGGAGGTCAATGGAAATAGTCAAGGTCACAGGCCAAGAGGAAGACAGTGCAATCCAGAAAACTAAAGCTGGCATTTAAGATTCGGGAGCAGATGCTGACATCAACAGGAGAAACATCAGCTGACTCAAGAACAATGGCTGAGTACCATTGGCCTAGATTTTCAGCGATTTCACCTACAAAGTTGGCTGTGGATTAGCAAGTGTGCATCACTCCTAATACAAAATCACATTTTGTCTCTGAAGTTTTGAAATTACCTTGAAGTCAAAATAAATTATTTATTTATACAAATTTTCAAAAAAGAATAAACTATCTAAAAAGAAAACATCTAAAAATGGCTGGTGTAATCATTAGCTTATGTTTGGACTTTTAATTTTTTATATCACATTTCAAATGATCCAGTTTTGAATCTTTTGAATAACC